TGTTGGAGAGAGGTGGAATTCACAGCATGGCCGTGGGTGTGAAGTCAAAAGCAGTTCAAAAGGGACACCAGGCAAAATGAGCTGGTGTTTTTTTTGTGTTTTTTTTCACGACCAGATAACACTAGTGTCAACACTGTGACACATTGGATTAAGAAAGGCTCAAATATGTCCCCACAGACACTTCTGACAGCACATCATGATGGTTCTCAACAGAAGAGGACTTTTTCCTTCCATGTTAATAAGGCATGCTGACTGGAGCAGTACATCATTGTCTGTGTGAAGCAGATGACTTAAAAGTGTTGACTTAAAAACAACAAATAGTTAGTGGGTGAATAGGTGACAAGTGTGAGGCAAAGTGTGAACGGAGAGTTTTCACGCGAGCGTAGTGGAGTAGGGCCTGATGCACGTGGGGGGCTTGGGGGGGTGGTTGGTAGTTGGGAGTGGGTGGGGTAGAGGGAGGGGGGGTGTAGTGATGATGAGAACAGACACGAGCCACATGAGGCCCCCTGACAATGCAGGAGTCCCCTGCGGTATGTCCAGCAGACGACTTATGCACACACTCACACACATGCACAAATGCACATGTGCAAACTGGCATGCAATTTTAACTCACATGCATGGAGTTTTGTGATAGAACATAAAAATAAAATAAAAATTAGTAATTTATTTAAAAAATAGCTTAAACCCGGAATCTTTATGATCGAATACATTTTGTTCTTCTCCACGAAGGGGACTATTATTTCCAGGCTCTCATTCCTGATGATTGCACCCCCTCTAGTGGTCTCATCTTGAACAGCAGTTACGTCTTGAAGCAAGCACTGTTAACTGTATAGGAACGGAAAAAATACAGTTTGCTTCATTTGCCAGGTATGTACACGTGAATGGATTTAGGACCCTGCTTTGACCAGTGGACATGCACAGAAAAACATACAGTACATGTAAAAGGACTAAACCAAGGATGACAAGCCGGACAAAGGCAAACGTAACTACAACAGGCCTACAGATGTAAATATATATTCAAAGCTTTGTATACATATGCAACACACATGTGGATATTCAACAAAAACAAGAGTATTATAAACAGGAGACCGTAAGACAAAAGGAAATTTGGAGGACTAAAGGTGCAAAACGTGCTGATCTATGATGTTAACAATTTGCTTAATATAATCAGGATATGGGGTTTGTCACAGTATTCACAATAAGCAGCATGCATGGATCTGTGTTTCCCAGTGATGACATTTACATAAATATAGAGTTGTTTCTCAAAATTGGGAATGAAGAAAATAATTTACAGGTAGGCCTACGCTGTATATTTGTGTAACATTACTACTGCACATGAGTTGATATTGCAACTGCATACCCATCGATAAAGTGTTTTTCCATGGTTTGATAAATGTTTAAAAATCGGTGTGTCTTATTTCGCTGCTGCACCAGTCTACAGGAGTGAAGTGAAGTTCGATTGAAAAACTAGACTTAAATCTAAACTATGTGGGGGAAGTCTCATACACAATTCATTTTGGCAGCGAAAAACATCCCAAATTTGGTTAGGCACCGTTTGTGGAACCACGCTGGCTATTCCACACACGCTGCGGACACCAGAAGTCATTCCCAGTTTGTCTCACCAACACACCGCTGGTCCCCCTCCACCATGAGGGTGCCTTTAAAACGATATGCCTTCTGGGGGTTTCTTTTATAGGCTGCTGTTGCACCATTGACTAGTCCATAATTCTCTTCAAATCAGTTCGTCCCCCCCACCCCCTCCTCCTCCCCCTTTTTTCAGCCCTCCCTCGACTTAACAACCAGAAAAAGGTCACATTTCTGAGAAGTGACTTCCATGCGTGTTCCATGCTGTGTCGTCACTTTCAATTTCCTAAGACCTTTCATGTCACACACCCATCAACCCAGAAACACACCACATACTACCCTGTGCAACGTTTCAATGTTGCTGGTGTGATACTTAAAATAGAACTCTTTTGAAGCAGTGCTATCTTTTTCTGAGAGGTACATTTGACTGAGAAGTGTTCAGGGATATATGAGTGGGTATAACAAAAAAAAACACAGATACATTGTTGTAGTTTAAAGCTTTTGAGTATACTTTAAGCAGATTGAAATTGCAAAAATACACAATAAGGAAGCATGATATGTTAGATGTTAGTTTAATGGAGAAGTAAAGTTATTCAGGAGTATTTCTCTGTCATTGTTTCTTCTGGGGAGTGAAAATGCAAAAGGCCATACATGAGCAGAAGTGATCCCCTCCTTCTTTCCACGTCCCCTGCAGCATTTAACTCGAGAGACCCTCAGGACACCCGGCGAGCGCTCAACATACGACTGTCTTTTCCTTTCTCCAGCGCCCCGATAAGATGTATCAGGATGTTTAACTCCGAGCACAAAATTAATGGAGCGTGAAATGCAGGCCTGAAGTGCAGCAGGCTCCGAACCTGCAGGTGACATTGTCTACATGACGCTCGTATTGCGACATAAGTGAGCTGTATTATAACCGCATTTGACTGGTGACAATTAGTGACCTTTTGCCAATCCAGCAGCCATCCAGTTCAATTACACCAAACAGCCAGTGTACTTCTAAATAGCTTGGTCACTGAAACTGCTAGTCCAACAATATGATTTCGCACACTGCTGGAATGGGTTTTGTGTCTAATAAGTTTATAGTTTTAGATTTAGCTTATGGCTATTAATGAGCTCCCATTTGAAGGTTCATGTCAGTGTGTATTCTGCAAAGAAAACGTCTGAAATAAAGAACTCATTTTTAGTATTTGCATAGTGAGTCGGTTTTGTATGCCACAGTAAAGCTGCTGCACCTTTCCTTTGCCGTTGCAGACTTGGCACATTTTTTTACTTTTCTCAGAATCTAAACCTATGCTTTTCTGTTTATATAATCTTCATTTTTTAATCCTTTTCAGGCGGTTTGGTAGATGAGGTGTATGAAGATGTAACTTCTTCAAACTGTTAGTGATTCATCCACACATCACAGGATTGTCAGAGCGATACTTCGGCTTCCTCCTGTATCTTCCTGCTGGCTCCACCTCGGGCCTGCCTGCCTGTCTGTCTGCCTTCACTTCAGCTTCATAGAGAACAAACCTGAGAAACCTCAGAGGCAGGAACATAATATAAAACCTCACGCTCTATCACTTCATCTAACCTTTCTCAAATACACGCTGCAACCGCTGCAAGCAGTACTGCAAGCACACACACTTTTTTTATTAAACTGTAGCCACTGTGCGTCTTATAACAGATACTCTTTTTGCAAATCAACTGTAGAGTATAGAGATAGTAATGTGCTTTGAAGTGTTGAAGTGCAACCACACTGAGTGGATGTGTCAAAGCTACAGAGAAGTGATATAAAAACTGTCATTTATTCCCTAGTCTCTCTATCACAATCGTTCTATTAACTCAATTGTAAATTAAAGGGAAGTCAAGTCTCATTATTCCAACACAAAGAGTTCAAAAATTTACTTCTTAGGCCTTTGAAACTAAATTGAATCATTTATTTTATCTTTACATTTTTAACCTAACGTTATCATCATGCGATTTATTATATTTTAATAAAATAGTTTCAGTTGGGTTTATTTTTAATCTTTTTTTAAATACATTTTGATTGTGTTATTTTTGTAGCTGATATTTTTTTGTTTACACTTTGGGCAGTAACTTTGAATTAAAGGTGATATACAAAGAAAAAAAAGAGTTATGGTAATCATTATTTACAAGGTTGACCCGCAATATTGAGTGTTAGGACTTGGAGATGTTATGAATTGGCGCTATACAAATAATGATTCATTGATGATTGTTTTTGGTCAGTTCAGTGCTGTCCAAAGTCTTATGTGGTCCGTTGTGCCTGTAATTAAGAAAAAATGTCAGAAACATGATAGATTTTGAGAAAGATGTAGTGATACGTTATGCATATAATGTGTATAATGTGAATGCATGTCAGCTGTTCAGATGGTGCAGATAAGTCAAGTGGAAACTGGTGCATTGGCATGGTCTACCTAAGAAAAGGGATTACATTTACATTTCAATTTAAAAAATAACTGGAACAAATGTTCATGTGCTTAAAGGTTTTTTTTTTATAAAGGTTAGTGCATTTTATTGCCGCTTAGACCAGTGGTTCTCAACTAGTCATCTAGTATCAGGACCCACCACCAACGACTTAATGAGAAATTGTGACCGACATTTCTGATATTTAACCAATGAGATGCATTTAATGAACAATAGTGTAGTCAGGACCTCAAACAGTAACAGAACAAATATTTTAAAAACCCTTCATAGACTTTTGGACACAATTTATTTCCGGGCACACTTCCACGACCCACTGAAAACAACTCTGCGACCCAATTTTGGGTCCCGACCCACCGGTTGAGAACCACTGGCTTGGAAAACATAATGACTTACAGTTTGAAAAATGAAACAGTACAAAAAGAACAAAGATCAGTACTGCATATAGAGATGTAGCTATACACAGGTAGGTGAGAGTTAAACTGAAATACCTCTTCATGACAGTCATCTCCCATGACCTTCTCCCACTAGATACCCAATGTTTATACTCAAACAACTCTTCAGTCATACCTTTCGTATGGACGTCTGACTGAACAAAGAGTTTGTAAAGATTTAAAAAGTTAGCTGATAAGAACAACACAACGGCAGAGTGACATTAAAATAAGACATGATTCTGTTTTATGAACCTCTAAACTGAATTTCTCACATTTTCGTAAAATCTATACTTATTATAAACTATTCCAAATCAACAGGGTGACAAAGTATTTGTTTGTATGTGTTCTATACATGTAACCTCTAAAACAGACTTCCAGTGCACAATGCATCAAACAATGATGTCAAAAAGGAGAGGTGGGATTTAAACTCTCCATACAACTTTTTCAGAGGTATTCTAAGTGTCACAGCTCAGTTTACAACCACAACCAGCAGACTCTGGAGTATTCACATTAGATATATTTGAGGACCTCTTCTGTTTATGTAAGTACTGACACAAATGTCAACTTCATCAACAGCTCTGTGGGTTCTTGTTCCTCCTGTTGTCCCTTGTTCCTTTCGTTAATGGATTACAATATGACCTTTTTCCTCAAAATGACAGGTATAATGGCCGTTGAAAACATCACCCTGGACTCAGCTGAAAACTCTCCAAACCAGAACAGCTGTGATGTTTTCGTGTACCAACGAGCTGCTGTGGTCCTCTTCCCCATTTTCTACTCGGTGGTTTTCATCATCAGTGCGTGCGGCAACAGCTTGGTCCTCTATGTGATATTCCAGAGGAAGCAGAAGTTCAACTCCACCTCCGTCTATCTGGTCAATCTGGCACTGTCTGATGCTCTGTTCACACTGGCCCTTCCAGGAAGAATCACTTACTACATCCGCCATTTTGACTGGCCCTTTGGTGACCTTCTCTGCAGACTGACCACACTTCTCTTCTTTGCAAACACATATGCAGGTAATATAAACACGTATGCAGACGACACTCTCCTAAATCTTTACTGGCCAAGAAATTATACGATTGTATAATCATAAGAATTACAAGAGGTCAATTTAATCTGCATTAACCGTTTATATACTCCAGGTATACGGAGTATAAAAAACTTTTTCTTCTTTTTAATTAAAGGTATACAAATAGAGCTAGGAGTGTGAAAACACCTTTGAAAAAATGTGCAGGACTGCCAGCTCATTTTGATTACATTTTGCAACTTTACTGTGGACTTGTGATTTAATAATGCTTTTGTCACCTCTCTAGTGTCATTGGCACTTACAGTTACAATACATATTCCATGTCCTTTTAGACTTTACAGATAAAGCAATCAAATGAGGGATGCTAAAAACACAACATCCCCATTAGATTTTTAATTTACAGCGTAACAAAGGATTCACATTTAATATCTTTTGGTGGCACAAGATTCTTTAATACGTGGTTAATTAGAAAAACAATCAGTTTATTTATTAATAGGCACCAAATCTACATGAAGAAAAAGATAATGTTGTAGTTTTCATGGGAATAAGTTAGTTTACTTGTGTTTGTAACATAAGTATATGGTAAATGGACTTGGACTTGTAAAGCACTTTTCTAGTCTTCTGACCACTTAAAGCTGCTTTTTCACAACAAGTCACATTCACCCATTCACAGCACATTCACACATATTTTGTATTTTCTTTATACTTCCACCAGGCATTGGCTTCATGACCTGTATCAGTCTGGACAGGTACTTGGCCATGGTACATCCACACCGCCTGCAGTGTTTGCGGAGCGTGAAGGTGGTCCGCAGGGTCTGCTGCCTGGTCTGGGCTCTGGTATTCCTGCAGATAGCTCCTCTTATGTTCCGCAGCATGCTGCACAAGCACAACGACAAACAAACCTGCATGGAGTACTTCAACTTCGAGGGATCCCGCTTCACCCCGTATCTCCTCCTCCTGGCCTGTACCCTCTCCTTCTGCTGTCCTCTCGTCATCATCATCGGCTGCTACGCCAAGATCAACCTGAAGCTGAGATCCGCAGCCAAGCAGAACTCTGTGACGTGTCGATTAAGGAGGAATCACAGGGCCAACACCATCATTCTCCTCATCCTCCTCACCTTCATCATGTGCTTCAGCCCTTACCACCTCAATGTTATGCAGTTTATGACCCGAAAGATACACCACATGCCAACCTGTGAGGAACTGAGGTCCTTTAAGGTGTCTTTACAGGTAGGAACAGAGCTTTTTTCATTGGCTTTTCAAACATTCCCCAACAATTATTTGCTCATAATCGATCTTCTGCCCTCAGATTACAGTCTCACTAATGAACTTCAACTGCTGCTTGGACCCAGTCATCTACTTCTTTGCCATAAAGACCTACAAGAAGCGGGTGTTGAGTCTGTTCAAGGACTATCTGTATACTTCGGGTGCTCCCTCCAAAGTGACTGCTGAGAACAGCAGCAGCAACACCTGAAAGAAACCACAGCTGTTCTGCAAAAAAAAAAAAAAAGTACAACCAGCATCCCAGAGCAGATCTAGTTTACTCTTATTAAAATAAAAAAAGGCCTGTTGTAAATGTACCATATGTGCCTCTCAGATGAAATATCTTATTGCCTCTAATTCTATTTCCTGTTTTTTTATTGCCCTTTCATTTGTAGTTTCCCCTTTTTTTAGCATTACTGTCTCCTATCAATAAGCGATGTGTCAAATGGAATTGTTGTTCAACAACATTTGTTTACTTTAGGGCCCTTTTCATGGTTTTGTGTGGGTGTGTGGTATGAAGAAAATGTCTCAACCAAGATGACTAAGATACTCTTTTTTCAAAAGTGTGGTTTTTTATTCAGTACAACAGCAACTTTCACTTCCTTTGTGTGATGTCTGCAGATAACTAAATGGGTCATCGTTTTAATACAAAGAGTATGAATGCATGGACAACTCTGTAATGTGTGTTCGCTTATGTTGAAAAACGTTATTGCTATTCTCAAAGGATTACAGCGTTCTTTATTAAATGTGAACTTTGGATGTGCCAAAAGAAGGAAACATGTCATAGCTCTTTACACCCACATCTGAGTTCTGTGTGTCGCTAAACACAATCACCACTTCCTCACCCACCTTTCCTGCTACTCCTCCCAAGCCTCGCTCCTGCCGGTCCCACATCTAGAGCTGTGTGTGGGTGTCTTACAGATTCAAGCAGGTGCACGGTGCCTGTTTATAGTGCAAAGTCCCAGATCTCAATGTATTCTTAAACATTCACATTAAACCTACTCTATGTTTTCTCCTCAATGAAAGTAATGCGAACAATTCTTTTTTTTTTGTGGTCATGACAGAAAACACAAACAAACACAATACACTGAATCACTCATCCCCCGACATCAGGATCAACAACCGAGAGCACATTTTATGACAACATGAATGGTTGACGGTAAGTGGTGATGCAATTCGCGTCAAAAGTTCGACAATTACCCTGAAATGATTTCTCACTATTTACAGTAAGGGTTTTCAATATAAGATTTGGTTTAAAGGAGATTGCCCTTCAACTGGGCTTACACTTTCTTAATACATGTATTTTTCTTTCGCATAAGCAGTGTGTTGCAAAGATGCAATATTAAAGTTTATCTCAAGTAGAAAAGTCAATAGGATAATCTGAAAAGGCAGAGGCGTAAGTGATGGAGTTGTCTGCTTGAAGATGTAAAATGATTGATGATTATAGTAAATAGTTTAGTTTAGTTCGTGGGCAGTCCCCTTTAATTTACTGTACAGTAAAAGAAGCAGCTTTAGCCTTTACGGCTAATTTCCAGCTGTAGTCCCCGGCCAGTTGTCAGTAGGCAACCTAAAATGCAATTGTTAAGATTTAAAATACAATAAAATACATTACATTTGTAATTACAACAGGCCTAAGCAAAAGGAAAATAGACATACAACATATCACACACAATTGGAGCAGGCACAAACAAAGCACAATCAAAGCAGTTCATGCAATAAAGACAATACTGGAGCGACATGGGAAAAGAATAATCATAGAGGCCACATTGAAAGCACATACAAGACATAACATGGAGGCAGACAGCAGCGGCAGCAGCAATGACTATGTCACATCAAACACACATATCCCATCTGAGAGGGATTAACGTGTGTAGTTATAGTTGTCAGACAGCCATGTTTTAAGGTGTGTTGTACAGGTGGAGTATCTATGTATATCTTTGATGGTGGTGGGCAGTGAATTCCAGTTTTGTATTGCTCTAACAGAATATGATAGCTGGCCAAATGTGCTCTTCCTAAATGGAATTAGAAGGTCACCTAGTGTGGTGCTTCTCGTGATCTGACTGTTATGTTGGATTGTGAATGAGTTCAAAGGAGGAGGAGCAGTGTTATGCTGAATTTTGTCGACCAGGCAGATATTTTTGTATTTGATAACGTCTTCCCAGCACTTAATACTACTGACTTACTTACTTCACAAGTAAGTAAGTCAGTAGTTTATTTATTTCAAGAACAGACGTCACAAAGTGATTCACAATAAAGGATTGAGCATAGACATTACAAACAGTCACATAAATTCAAATACAGACGGATCAAAAAAAGGCAAGGCTGAACAGATGAGTCTTTAGCTGCTTTTTTAAAAGTGTCCACAGAGTTCACGGCTCTCGGTTCCAAAATGTAGGTGCCACAACCTCAACTGTTACAGTCTCCTTTTTTTTTTCTTCCAGTATTGTGTGAGTAACAACCAGCAGTCTTTGTAGAACCATCATCAGGAGTGTTAGCACAGCCCCGTGTATTTCAGATAGATGTTTCAGATTAAACTTTCAGCGTGTAAACATTTCTTGCCTCTTGGTATGAGTCAACTTTGTTGTTGATTCTTCCTTGCGTGAAAGATTGCCACATTTACACTTCCTCACCCTGTCAGTTTGTGGCTTCTTATTATGTAATCCACTATCAGCTCTTTTCTTTCTGCTGCGTGTGGTCTATGCATTAAATGCCAAAGCCATCTTACTATTCTTTACAACCTCACAAGTTTCAAAAGAGAAATCTTTTTCACCAGACTTTTTTTTGTTTGACTTTTTCTTGCCAAAATAGAAAACCAAACCACTAAAGAAATAAACTATAATATGATAAATGAAATATATTTGCTTTTGAAGCAGAATGGACTGTGTCATTTAGTCATTCTAAATAGCATGTATTAAGCTAACTATCTTTTATTGCTGAAGGATCTGCCTCATGAAGATCAATACAACAAAGAAAATATAGTGAGGCGCTTTGTTGCATTTCATTGTTGTCCAGTAGAGGGAGGCAGTGTGCTGCCAATACTCAAAACAATTCACTGTGTGCCAGCAAGATGACCTCTGACTTCACGAAAAGTAACATTATTGAGTTATTGTTTCCCTCTGCATGAGGTGCAAAATACCACTGCAGTCTGCCTGGAGTAGAATGATGAGATGTCTAACTGGGTTTGTGTGGATGGATCATCTGCAGCTGTATATATGCATCATAATATGGGGTAATATTTGCAGGTTCCTTTGAGAAAAGTCAGCTGCACATATACTAACAACTAATGAACTGTATTCAAAAGGCACAGGGCAGGCAGGATGAAAATGACTGACTGGGTATGAATGTAAAGACATGAAAAAATCTTATTGATAACATTTACACAAATATTTAAGTTCATTAAATATATTTTCCATGCCTGCTCCTGCACTCCTACAAACATTGATTTGTTTAAATAAATGAAACAGCCATCAGAAGTGTGGCTGACAGCAAAACTAAAGTGTTAAATCCTAAATCCTTGTCTATGGGATACATTTCATCGTATATCACATGAAAAACTTTATGGGACCAATACTCAAGAGTTATTGTCACTTTGTAGATGTAAACGCTGGCGGTCTTGGGAAGTTGATTTGATACAGCTAAGCTTGAAGCCTGTCTAGCTACTAGGGGTGCATTAAATAATAATCGGTTACAAAAAAATTGAATCAATAATTGTTTTGTAGTCCACATTATTGTAAATGTTTCTTGTTGCATTGTGGGCTCTAGGATAGGCCTAATTCAAAACAGAAAAAAAGGAGCATGAGCGCAAAAAGAAACTAGATGACAAACAAAGCGCTGATAACGGCTCTGTGCTGAAACGTGTCCGTTGTTGATCCGTACGCTGCTATCCTAACAAAAATATCCCTTTAATTAACCCCCCTATGAATTCACAATGAACAAAAAGTCCCAAACAAACTAAATATGCAATATGATCAACAAAAGTTCAGTTCAAATTGTCTTTTTGGTCCACAGAAAAAGAATAACTTTCACTGTGCAATTACCGCTTTACTCTGCTAAACCAACGACGTTTGATCATCCAGGACAGAGCAGCATAACTAGATGTTTTCCTATATTTTGGAATTTTAGATGATTATTTTAAAATCTTTTAATAACTAGAAAAAGGAACAACCTTATAGGGAGACAGAGTTCATAGACAGACACTTAAATGGTTCACCTGTTCTATTGTAACTTCATTTACCAGAGTAAAGTGTTCTCTACACTGCAGACTGTATTTTTAACAGAATGTTGCGGTCAAAACAGCTTCAACGTGCGATGAGTGCACATTAAGGTCTGCACGTCCGCTCGCCACACTCACTGCCCTAATTATAATAAAGTCTTAAAACGGTGAGAAGATACGTCAGTGTGAATTTTTATTTGAGGTTTGAAGTAAGAAATGTCATATTTGAATGTTAATACAAAGGCCTATGACTAACAATTATTAAAATCCCAAAGATTCAAATTAATCATAGTCATAGTTGGGGGACGGGGCCTCCCGTGGGGGGGAAAGAATCACAGAAAAAAAAAGAACTACAAAACCATTAATCGAGTGCTCGCTTTAACAACGGGAAGAGTAATCGATTAGAGAAAATTTTGCATTTCTGCGCCCTACTAGCTACTATAAGCTGGTTATCAACAAATGTCTTGCTATACTTAAAGATACAAGTATTGAAATTTCACAATAAAATATATGAATTCAATTTTTTTTTAAATAACTAAACATTTGTCATATTTTTTGTTGAGTGCTAACATTACCTCAAATATTTCAAACAGTTATCAAAGCCAGAGAAATCGGTTATTTCATAGTTGTAACGGGATGTGTCTTGCCGCAGCAACCGCCACGACAGACATGACATGTTTATCGTTGCTGTGGAAACACCAAATGTTAGATCAAGACTGCAACATAATGAAGCATGAACTGCTACTGAAAGCTGTCATACTGTTGCTGAATGTGCTGCTGTGATAAAAACTTCATGAAGATTATACGTGGATTCATCATCGGTGAAGCGTCGGTAAACATATTCTCTTCGTTAGGTATGTTTTGAAAGTTCGTCCCGACTATGGTCAACTCGGAGTTGGTTTTCATCGGGGGTGGGGGTGGGGTAGCAGAGAGAATCGCTCCAAAGATTCCTTGCCAACCACGATGTCATCTTTTGTTATTGTTTTGATCAAGAGAGAGAGAGCTCCCTGGCAACGGAATTTACCTACTGTGCGTTTAACTCAGCTAAGACAGAAATGATGGCTATGGTGCAGCCAAGACTGATTCATCACTATGATCATTTTATTGTTTCTGGATGATTGTGTTATCAATTGCAGAGAGAGAGTTAAGAATCCTGTGGTGCTTTTTGTTGACTTTCGTTTGATTTGCATGTAAAGGAGGTGGTTTGCCAAAGATGACTTTTTGGGGTCTACAGATGGTTCAGAATGCAGCAGCTCGTGTTCTGACGGGAGCGTTTAAATATGATCATATCACTCCAGTGGTGGCCTTTCTTCATTGGCTTCCCGTTCAGGTTAGTGCACGCTTTAAGGTGCTGCTAACTTATAATTTAACATATAACTTATAATAGTAAATGGCAGTGCACAATCGTGTTGGACAGACCAGTTGAAACCAGGGGACTGGTCTTTTGAGATTCCCCTATAGGTCAAAAAGAAGACAGTTACTGAGCGGGCTTTTTCATTCTATGCTCAAACATTATTAAACAGTTTAACTCTGGACATAAGGCAGGCATGTTCTGTTGATGTATGTAAACAAAAAACCCACTGAACTGTTGAGTACATGTGTGTTGTTTGTACATTTCCCTGTCTTTAAGTCAACTTCACTAACTATCAAGGTGCATGAAGAGTGAAAGGCTTTAAAGGCTTTATATGTGATTTTTCACACTTAAATATAATAGAAATCAAGTATATCCTCTGAAAATAACTCT